TTCCGTAGCAGTCAATCTACCCATCGAGGCATTGCCAACCCAGCTAGTCACCTCATCCCCATACCATTCGACCAACAAAAGGTCTATTTTCGTCATGAGAGATCAAGATGACATTTGCTGAGGAACAGAAGAAGAGACCTGCTGTATGACTTTATATATCTACTCAGCATACGGTTTGTATGGCTCTGAGTAATATATAAGCATACCAAGGGGCTTGATACGGTTCTTCAGAGCAAATGCTTTGGCAGTCAACAGGATTAATGACTCTCCTGATAGCTCAGCTTGTTCACGATATTGAGCAAGAGTCTACTGCTGTATAGATTGTGCCCTGTTACTTACAGTTTGCCGCTGGTCAGTACATGTCCGTGGTTTATTATATCAGATACATCGAGAAAGACGCCGGGCGACGACGACGATACAATGGCGCCCAGAATATCGAATCTACAGCTATCGACGATCGCGATGATACTGCCATTCGAAGACCAAAAGACCCACGAGCTGGCAAGTATCGTTGGCTGTACCGAACGAACGATTCGACGACATAGATCACGACGTAATATCACTGGCGAAGTGCAGAGATATAAGAGGTGCCGCCAGAGTCGACAAAAGATGGAAATATGGCATCGTACAGAGCTTCTTGAACTACTGCAGTACCGCAGCGATCTATCTCTTGAAGAGATGCAAGATTTCCTATTTGAAGCCTTCGAGATCCAGATCAGTCGTTCTGCAATCAGTCGACAGTTAAACTCAGCTGGCTGGACGAACAAGAAGTCCAAGATTATTGCTGCTCAGCGAAGTGACGAACTACGATACGAGTACTTGTACCGTATACGACGATATCGCCCCGACCAGCTGGTATTCGTCGACGAATCCGGCGTCAATAAGGATACTGGGATACGGAGGACTGGATGGGCGCCGAAAGGGCTTGCTGCGTTTCGAACTGCAGAGATTGATCGGTTTCAGAACTCTCGCGTACAGATCCTGCCAGCCCTCACGTTGAGCGGTATCCTACACTTGACTACGTATTATGGTACGACTGACGGCGATGGGTTCTTTCGTTGGCTACAGGAGTGCCTTATCCCGAAATGTGGGCGTTTTCCAGAGCCAAACTCTGTCATCGTTATGGATAACCTCTCCTGCCATCGTATACCTGAAATCGAGGGTTTATGCCGGGTATCAGGTGTCCATCTCGAGTTTCTGCCTCCGTATTCACCAGACTTCAACCCCATCGAAGAGTACTTCGGCGATCTAAAGCGATACATCAGGAAGACGTATTCGAAGTGGAACAACGATGAGAATGACACTCGGGATTTCATGGAATATCTACGTGACTGCGCTATGGAGATTGGGTATCGTCTACCCCAGATCGAGGGCCATTTCCGCCATTCGTTCGTCAACTTTGATGGGACAGAGCATATATTTGACGATATCGAACTATAAAAGGGAGGATTTGCTGCCAATATTGAACATCAGCAAGCAATCCAAATTTTCATCGTGCGTTCGCGCGCAATAGATCTTAATCGTGTCGTCATATGATGGTCAATCATCAAATCCATGATTGTAGCCAACAAGATTGCCAAAAGGTTAGCCACAAGCGCACCAGAACACAAAAAATATACCGTCGTCCATTGTTTTCGTCGGTAGCTACGTATACATATCAATTTTGCCTGTATAACGGCTGAAACGCGTTGTTGATGCTTGTGACGATGATTTGTGATGATGACACGTCATCACGATCAGAGACTTCAACCATAGTCAGAGACTTCAACTGCCCCTAACCAGTATCGGGATGGACCGAAGTGTATTGTTTGCAGATCCAAAATAACAGTAATTCTATTGCTTTTATACGTATAGAGCGGCAGTGTTGAATCTACGGCTATGGGTAGACTTTTCCGTGGTTGAACACGTCATGCAAAAAAATCGCGCATACAGTCAAACTTCACACCACTCTTGCTGTATCACTCTTCTTCGTTATCCTCCTCCGAGTAATACGTCTCTGTTGACGACGTATCACTCGAGATTTCAATCTGATTGTCCTCATCGCCTTGCTCGATTTCGTCTTGTTCGATCTGTAACTGCGTGGGCAGCATCTGCGACGCTGACAGCAGTGGTGACGAAACGAAACCAAAGAGTTCCGAAACGCCTACAAAGTTAGCCATATTCGACAGTAAACAGCTCTATATACACTCACCACGTCGACCAACTTCAACTGGCGTACCACGGATCTCTTGCTCGATGGATTGACGTGGCACTAGGGCGTCGATATGTCGGGATGACCCCAACTCGCCTGAAACTAGCGCCGCAGAGTTTTCAACTGGCGCCGCCGCCGTCCCTCCTGGCAATCCAGCGTATATTCTTGTATAAACATCTCCTTCTGACTCTCGATGGTTTGAATGAAGTTCAGAGTGAGATACCACGTCGGAGAGGGCGTCAGACTGCCCTCCGTAGTAGGCGCTGTTGTCTATGAAGGATTTGATCGAGTTCCTGACATCTTCGGTAAGATCTTGAGTAAAACCCTGTTCAGTAAACCAAATATCTGGTAACTTGCGAATTGCCCGCAAGCTACTGTCTACTGATCGCAGTTTCTGTAGCTTCTTTCTGAACCCTTCGTCGACGTTATATCGCTTGCCGCGGACGGATATAAACCACTTGATGAAGCTGGCCACTTGATCTAGAGCTTTTCGAGGCGAATCCGGTACCACTGGCGAGGACGAACGAATCGGGAGTGCGATACTTGGTTGACGAGTGCTTGGAAGGTTCAATGGCGGAAGAGTTGGCAACGAATACTGTGAGATGTTCGCATATGGCCAATATGCCGGCGGCGGCGGCGCCGGCGGCGGCAGCTGTACGTATGGGTTAGGATATTGAAGATGACGATCTGGCGCCCCCGCGTTGCCGTATATATTGACGATGGCGTTGCTGTTGGCGTTGGTTAGGCCAGATCTTGACCCTGATGATGGAAGTGCGGCATTTTCAGCCTTCTCTTCCGTCATCACTGTCGTCTCCTGGTTATCATCAACCTCCACGATATTCTTACTTCTCTTGCCCTGGCGTTTCTGATCCTCTATAAACTGGTCGTGAAGAATCTCACCAAGCAGTTCTTTAGGTGGTTCCATATTGTCAACGCCAGCCTGTCCAGTCATAATAGCCTTCGCCCACTTCTCTATATGGTGAGATTTGATCTTGTAGTGCTTCTGGCCTAGTATATAGCACCAGTTGAACTTCTCGTCGCCCGAACTATTCTTACATCTCTGGTACTCTGGGCAGATGTGCGTACGGAGAAGTTGTCTGTGCATACCCTCCTTCCGACGCTCGACGTTTGCAGGATCGTTAGCCTCACGATCGATCGCCTCTTGCATGCCGGCTGAAACGCCTGCTCGGCCACCTTTTCGAGGCGTTCGTACGCCAGTCACTATACCACCAGAGATTGGTACGGCGCTGTATTGCCACTTGACGGTGAGGTGGACTTCACCCCTCTCTTCAGCTTGTTCAAGAGAGGGGACAATATCAACCCATGGAATACTTGGCCAAGTGACCCCTCCAGTAGACGGATAGACCCGAGTGAAGATTGGTGTTGGTTTAGATGCGTTGGTGGGCTTCCTCCAAGCAACGACAACAGCGATATTGGCCTTCTTCACAATATACGAGTGAGCCACTTCTGCCTCAAGTTGGGCGCCGCTGTCTGCCTCCCAGTCTCTACTATTCGCATCTAATACAGGAGCAATACTGAATCTGTTATACGCGATGCTCTCGATGGTTAGATCGAGAACAGGTAAACCGTTACCCTTGAGCGCTGGGCCACGGGTAACCTGGATTTGTAGCAGAGTTGGTTCCTCGTTACCCATATCGTCCTCCTCTTCAAATACATCGTGGAACGACATAAACGTATCATCAGCGCTATGGCGAGGGGCCGTAGGCGTATCGTCCGCAAATCGAGTGGTTTGACGAGGGGTTGGGTTAACTGGGGTCGAGTCTGGTCGAAACGGTGGCATCGACGAAGGCAGAGTACTTCGGAGCCGGATCGTATGCGGCGGATCCTTCTTTCGCTTCCTCTGCGTTGTCGTTGCTTTTTGGCGAGAGGACGCTTTTGGAGCTCTTCGTGATGACGGAGGGGCTATAAGTACACGCTTTCTTCGCGATGTAGACTCAGCCGCCACCAAATCATTAGTCTCGGGTCCAGCCTCGGCGACGATAACCTCCTCGGCGGCCTCCTCGGCGGCCTCTTCGGCGGCGGCAGCCCGGCGAGCCCTCTCGGCGGGCGTAACGATCCTGATCGACGGCGAGGCAGAGCGTTGAGGAGGATCTCTGGCGGCGTCCTGTGCCAGTTGTTGTATACGTCGTTGTTTCCGCGTACCGTTGGCGATGGGTGACGGACGATGCCCAGAAGGGTCATCATCCGCCTGCCGAGCCGCGCGGCGGCGTTTAGGAGGCATCACGATGCCCTCAGATAATGAGATTCAATAGAAATAGATCAATTGAAGCCATCAGAATAGGTCAATTGCCGTACTACGAATATCTACGTGGCGTTGGGCAAATTTTCATGTATATACAGGGATTATGCGTGCGTAATTTCGGCAAAAAGGGGGGGCGGACGCTGTCAACGCAACGGAGTGTAGTACCAAACCGAATTAGATTCTACGTGAGTCTCATTTCGCTGAAATTCAGTTTATCGCTTTCGTGATTTTCTTTCAATTCTATTCTGGAGACTGCCGGGTAAATCTAGTGGACGCAATTCACAAAGTTGACCGGTACGAATTTCACATTTGTGTTCACGGAAGCATGTGCGCATGTCTTGCAAACTGCATGCTGGACTATTTGCAGGATCGACCAATGACCAATAAGTAAAGAATATCACTAAATGAGTCTGGCGGCTGCAGTATCAATATACCCCAAGCCCACTCATCCACTTCTCGGGCTCCCATGGTGTCGCACGCTCAGAGCACTGACAGTGCACTGTATGTTTGTTCCCATATCGGAAGACGGCAGGTGTTGTGCGTCGCTCAGCAGGCCGCTTCACTATGCACAAAATCTGACGGCGACAGCGATGGATATAAAAACCCCGCGACCTGAATCATGTCGGTGATATTGCCGGCAGGACCATGAGATGGGAGAAAACTGCATTATAAATGTCAGTTTTCTCTTGAGAGGGTACGTGGTTGAACTTGTGATGTGGTACTTACTGAGCATTGGCGGCGACACCATCGCTAGCCAGAGATGCCAGCAGCTCGTGTACTGCTGCATGATCAAAGGTCTCCAGGAAGGCCAAGTTTCCATGGTCTGCGTCAAAGACAGCCGTAGTACTGTCGCTGGTAGGACACGCGGGAAGGACGAGAGTGTAGCCGTGATCTTCAGCATGTACAGTCGCATCCATATCGACGAGGGCCAACTGTATTCGGCTGTCCTTCAGAACGAGAGAGCCGCTTCGGCTTTTGCATGGGTTAGCCCAGTCTTCCTCTCTCAAATGGAAGTTGCATACCTGTAGGTTACGATCTGGTCTTGGGGCACAGTGGTGTAGTAGCTGGCTGCATGGTCAGGTACGATGAGCTTTGCGCCACTGGCGACGTAGTCCACAACACCAAAGGCGTGATCATGATGATGATGGGTGGGCTGGAGGACGTCAGTATCGAGCAGAGAATCTTGGCTTGTCTGGGAATACGAACCCAAACGTGAGTGATGTTCTTCCCGAGGCGAGCTTGAGCCCATTCAATGACGAGCTTGCTTTGGTGGGGAGGAGCATCCAGCACGATGACAGATCCGTCTTCAAGCTCTACTACGGCTTGTCGCATGGCCAATGCCCCTTCGGGACTGATCACCCATAACCCGGGCAGATCATCAAAAGGCTTGGAAGCTGCCGAATCGATGATCTCAGGAGTTCCTGTGTATGCTCCTGGCCAAAGGAAGTTGGCGGATGTCTCACCAATCTCAGAAAAGTCATATTGTACGTCTCGTACGGGCACGCTAGCCTGCGGTATTGTCGCGTTGCCGGGTACTGTGAACAAGTCTTCAGAAATCGCAGGATTAACCAGAACCTGATCAGCACGATAATCCGCAATGAGATGCTTTCCGTTGTAGATCGTCTTGAATCGCTGCGGGGCCTGAACGCCATCAACCTCCGTGTAGTCGTAAACAAGGAGATCGTTTGTCGAGGCACCAAAAAAGGGGTGATCTTCGTAGGAGCGGATGATGTACGGCAAATTGGTATCGCGATTGAAAAGAACCGTTAAGTTAAGTGAATCGTCATGGACTACATGTTGTCAGCTGGACGGCCAGAGCAGCAATGAGAAAAGAGGATGATTAGCAGGACTCACCACCGTGGAGCTCAACACCGGCTTCCGAGGCCCCTGAGCGATAGGTAAACTTATTGTTAGATAGGATCTGCTAACATTAGTGAGTGCTAGCAAGTATCGCAAATCTGCCATACCGTCGAGAGAAGCAACGGTTGCCACTTATATGCCTTGTTGATCAAATACGATGCAAGAAGACCTGATACAAAAATTCATTATTAGTTGTGTCTATGGGATTGGTATGGGGTAAAGCGTGAGTGGGCTTACCGTCTAGGTATCCCTGGGGATCTCCAGTAGGATTGTAAAGGTCGTAGCTTCCCCTAACAACAGCTGCAAAACCAGTCTCACCGCCGTTAACAACCAAAGAGAAGTCCATAGGACTGAGATTGGCTCTCCCAAATGTCCATCCAGCTGTGAGATCTTAGCAAACCTCGACGGCTGATCGGATATAAATTTTTGCGTACGGCCAAGAGAGGCGACCTTATCGATGCGTTGCCGAACGTTGTTCCCATCAAAGGAAAATGTCATGTTTTGTCGGCCAGCAGTGACAGCTGCATTATCCACTCCAGTGAGAGAGATTCCCATCATCAGGGTCCTGGCGCGAAGAATTCTATGTTTGGTTAATGAATTGTCACCCATCACTGAAAGCACGCACTCAACTTACGTTTCGCCACAGTACGACAAGCTGCTTATGGAATCGATAACATCCTGGCCACCAAGGGCCTCAATCCCTCGGGCAAGAAGTGCAGCAGGATCTTCGACGCTGTCATTTTGGCGGCGGTGCAGTCGATGGCCAAAAGCAAAGCTGGAAAAGAGCAAGACAGTCAGACTGAGTCGAGAAACAAACATCTTGGTAGTCTTCAGCGGAAGAGGCATGAAGGACGAGACAATGGTTCGTCCAATGTCTGATAATCTGACGAGCTTAAATACATGATCAAGAGCATCTAGCCCATGGGTTCTTGGTCAGGAGTAAGTTGAAGACGGATTTCTAATCCCGTCCCGTACGCCAAGAAGGCGACCGTAGCTTAGGTACTCCAGCAACACCTGATTTCCAGAAGATTGTGACTATGTTGAAGGCTGTGTTGATGAACATGGCACGCTGAATATTGGCGATTGCAAGGGTTCCTGAGGCCAAGTCAATTTCGAGATCTTGGACTCTTGTTTTGTCTCCTATGGCTTGCGGATGGCTCCGCGGAATCACAGGGGTAGCATGCGCGCGGCAGGAACCATCCAGATCAAGCTTGAAAGTAGCTCAGTTTCTGGCGAATAACGAACGCGGGTCGAAACTTTAATCAGTTGACGTTACTTGGCCCTCCGGACATTGGACGAATTCTGGATGCGGTTCTACTGTTTCCCCTAGTTTTCAGACCGGGTTGGCCTCAGGTGCTGGTTAAGTCCGGAGGCTGCGGACACAGGTGCCCCACATTTAAGGCCGAGTACGCCGTAGAGATGGAGCCATGTCCGGAGATACAGATGGGTCAAGGGCTGCGTCTCATGCGCCTAAGTTTTGGGCACTTATTACATGGCGTTCGCAACAGTCTACTAGCTGAGTAATGCATCAAACCTGAATGCGCATTGTTGTTCATTAAAGCACTGGCTAAGTGCTGGGTTCTACTTTTCGTGTCAACAGCATGGCCCGTCTGCCACAAGCCAACAACCGCTCAAGACTCCGGAATATCATCTACAGCAGGTATCTATAATCAGGAGACAGATCTCCCAACTCAGTCTTCTCCTCCTCTGACAATGTAGATTGCCCGGCAGCCCGATCCCTGCTCTTGTTTGCAGACCAGCATGCGATCGCATAGATGAGACACGCAAGACCACTCAAAATGACGAAGGCGATGCAGATACTATACCCGGGGATGTACTTGGGTGCGTCCTTCTTCAGGAAGGCAAACACGGCAATGATTCCACCAATGTTACCGAAGCCAACCTGCCAAGCACTGCCAATCGAGCGACGGTGGTGGCCTCCCAAGTTCATGTTGAACCAACACACTATGATGGGCATGGCCGTGTAGGAGCCCATCGCCACTAGGAATAGCGACGCGTATTGTACGGACGTATTGTTATGCACGGAGATCAAAATCGCAAAACCAGCCATGGCGACGCAGATAGCGAAGATGGCGAATAAGAATCGATGGCGCGTCTTGTCAGAGATGAAGGCGATGATCATCGAGAAAACGAATGCCACAGCCCATGGAGGGACACTGTGCAGCTGGGTCTGTATGCTGTCGTAACCGTACGTCTGAATGATGCCGGGCGCGAAGTAGGCGTAGCCATAAGCGGGAACAATCAGGCCGAAGTACATGAAACCTCCGACAATGACCTTGTAATCTTTGAAGATGTTGCCGACATCCTTGATGGTTGTGCTGCGCTCCACGGCGGAACGCCCCTGATCGGCGCGGAGGCGGGCCGAGACAAACGCCTTTTCGTCGTCGGTGAGCCACTTAACCTCTTCGGGGAAGTCGGGAAGCCAAAAGTAGAAGAAGAAGCTGACAATGACGGTCAACAGGCCTTCGAGAATGAAGATCCAGCGCCATCCAGCGTAGCCGCGGATGCCACTCATCTTTCCGATCGCTGCAGCGAGGAGACCGCCGAAGGCTCCTGCGAGAGTGGTGCTGTTGAAGAAGAACGAGTATCTCCTCTGCGCCTCGTGGCGCCGGTACCACATGCCGATGAGGTAGAAGGCGCCCGGGAACATGCCCGTCTCGAAAACTCCCAAAAAGAACCGGGTGGTGCAGAGTCCAGCGTAGTTTGTTACGAAGCCCTGGAGCATGGTGACGAGACCAAATCCAAACATGTTGATGCTCAACCAAACGTGCGGCTTGAACTTCTTCAGGAGGATGTTGGAAGGAATCTCCAGGAGGATGTAGGGAACGAAGAAGACGACAAGCGCATTGTTGTAGAGGGTGCCATTCAGGTTCAGTTCCGTGCTGAGGCCGAAGACGTTCGCATTGGCGATGTTCACTCGGTCTACGAAAGCAAATGGCAATTAGCATTTGAGTTGCGATCGTGGCTGGATGCGCGGGCGGGGAAAGTGAGCTTCTTACCGAGGAAAGCTAGCAGGTACATGACGCAGAGGAAGGGAATGACCCTCATGTCCTGACCAGGTCAGTATTCACATGGTAGTGTTTCGACAGGGAGAACTCACAATCTTGCTGACGAGCTTGCTCTCCGTCGTGTGAGGGGGACACTCGACGTGCTCGTCGCCGTAGCCGGGGCGGTCAAGATCCGTCGCATGCTCGAGAGAGCGCGACGGCGACTCGGCCGGCTTGTTTTCCTTGTCGTACTGCATCTTCAGAGTCGTCTACTCTGAGAAGCTGGACTCAATTGAACTCTCTGCAACCAGTAGAGGCGCGCGCGACACACAGAACGCGGCGAAGGGCTGCAAGAGACAGGTGAAGGAGCAAAGGGGTGCGGCGCAAACAAGACTGACGACGATCCTGCCAGGGTCGCAGCCAGCTTTTATTTCGTCGCCTACTTTTTTGACCGTCGCAAATAACTGTGAGTCGCGCCGCCGACCTCGGGGTGAAAAGGTTCCCTGGAGGACAAGGCCGGTGATCCTCCCGTCTCCACACGACTCCAAAAAGTACGAACCAACACCACGTTGGACGTGGAGCGTGTTTGGTGTCTAGCCCGGCAGCGGTAAGGAGGGACATGGATGGGTGTCCTAAAGAGAAGTGATCATCCCCCCAAGCCTCCCGAGCCGAACCCCGCGTTTTCTGACCGTGGCGGGAGTTAATAATGCAGCACTAAGCTCGGGCTATTGCTTGTAGCTGATTAATGTCATGCAGGGCATTGGATCCAGTCAACGACTTGTGCTCGTATCCTGTGCATTGCATGCCTCTCAAAAGACATGGCAAATCTGCATAACTTGCACAAGATGTTCAGGCAGCAAGAAACATTCCAGACTCAGTGTTGGATCTGCAAATCTTAAAAGGGCCCCATTCTACCCTATTCACAACTCCACCCCGGCCCCGGGTCGGACTTGGCTCTACTCCACTCCTTCAGCCGATGCAGGAACTGTGACTCTGTGAGTAATCCCTACCACAAATTCCTTTTTGCGTGGTTGGCTCTTGGGTGACGGCATGCTGCGTCGGACGGACGCCGCCGCCGCCCTCGTCTTCTGAGCAGAAAAATCCTCACCTAGGGTTTGGTCCGGTGGGATTGATAGGATGCAGGTGTGAGACAGACCGGACTTAAGCTCGAATTCGGCCGTCGGACGCCCGGAGACCACCCGTTTTGGGCCTAGACTATTAGGGGACCACAGTGACTCAAACCACTGATGGTTCGTCTGGTTTTCTTACTCATGGAGGCCACAGACACACACTTCGCTTGAGCGGCAGCTCGATTGTCAAGCCTTGACAGCTCGCTTTCTACCCCGCGAACGCCAAGCCCAGCCACGCCTGGCGATGCTCTTTTGTAGCTTGTGTTAATCGATGGCACCTGACCTCGGCTCTGAATGTCGTGCGTTGCGATTCTTGAACAAACAAATCCAAAGAAGCTGCTCAGTCGGCCTGGCCTTAGTCTCGTGTTTCGACCCTCGTATTGCGACCAATCAGGGCGTCAACTCAAGACTCCTCTCAAAGCTTGCGCGTATTTCTGTTTCGTGTAACAATTGATTTCTTTCTTGCACTCTGCTCTAAAGCTGTCAAGCTGAAAGCCACCGTAACGCACTGTTGGCCAGCTGGAACCAACGGCTTTCCTTGGTAGCCAATCGCGATGCTACCAAACGCCGTTGCTGTCCTCGCAGGTGTTTTGTTTACGGTTTCTATTCTTGTGAAGAAAGCTGTACACTTCGTACATATTCCAGACAGGACGTCAATGCATAAGGTATCACCCGATGGTATTACTACGAACGATACATCCATTCTCCGAAGGAATTGATGAAAGGCCGAGAGCAGCATGAAAAAAAGCGAAACTGTCTCAGTTGAGGCTCGAATGATTGCATGTTGGCCCGCGGCATAAAACGAAATGGGGGTTCAAATGATGGTAACCTCGGCATTTTCTACAATGCTATCAAACAAAACCCCATCTGCAACAGCCGGTGCTGCATTCCAGAAGACGTCTTTGGTGAAGACATAACCAGATCGCTGGTAAACATCTCCCATTGTAGGGTGCTTCCAGGAGCTCAATACCAAGCACCCTACATGGTGGCGCGGCACATGAGCCGGCGCCGAGTTTTCGACTCCGGTAGGAAATCTCATAACTGGCAGCAGTATCATCCTCCCTGCTTGCTGTAGGACCCTGTCAGGAATGTCGGGAAAGAGCATCACATTTCTGCTTTTATCGCCACGATGCCCGAGATATTCACCGACTGCCACTTCCCCTCCATGATCGCCATAGTCTGTCCAGCAATACGTGATGAACATAGTGCCTCTCAGGCGAAGGAATCCACTCTTCACTTCAACTGTTGAGTCTGGGCCCTCCGTGGTGACATCCAAGTCAATCACTTTGACCATCTTTTCTCCACCTAGAAGGCTGTCGCCAGAACGCGAGAAGACCGGCCCATCGACGGAAGCCCATGACCAGGAAGGCGCTCGATATTCTGACGGGCGTGGTAAGTCTCCGTGCGTGTACCAGCAAAGCTGGTTCACAATTACGGATTGCCACATGCCCGCCAGAAACCTATCCCCGGTGGCTTGCTGGAAGAGCTTCGAAAGTCCCGAGAATGCGTAAAGTTTGTCTTCGGATCTCGTAAGCTGACAACGCGAGTAAGACTCAACGGAAACCTCCCAGGCGTTGAGCAATTCAGTCGTCATGAACCCTCTTGGGCCTGATACGAGATCTGCCAGGCTCCCCAGAGTCTTGAATCCCTTCATATGATCGGCTGGATAAGAGTTGACATCTCCTCTTGGGAAACCTTCGCATCCGCTCTCTTGGAGACACTCCCACATGACCTGCTGAGCCGAAAAGTAAATGATTCGCGACGCAAAAAAGCGCTCTTGATAAACCCAGCCACGGCAATGCAATGGAGACTCTGGCAAGTGATCATCCCAGTACCTCCGTCGGAATATGTAACACCGCACGGGACAGGTTGTTGGCGCAATGGTCAAAGTTGTGTCCACAATACCCGGCGCGATGCCTTTGGCTGCACGATGTCGGAAAAGCCCTCCTTCTGGACCATCTGAAGCAGATGCACAAATATTACACATCGAGTTGCTGTAGACACTAGCCATCATCGGTGCCTCCGCTTTCCAATCCTTATCGTCATCTTGGATGATGCACAGACGGTCGATCCATACATACCGGACCCCAAAGTGACGGGCGACAATTATGAAATCCTGAAAGGTCTGGGGTAATGTTTCTACTGGCCAGCCAACTTGAAGGTCGTTAATATTTTCAGATAGTAGTAAATGCTCAGGGTTGGGTGCCCAGCGGTAACTCAGAGTCATATACTCCACGGGGGATGTCTTGTCTAAATCCTTCGTTATTCGAAGCTTCCAGTCAGGTTCGCCTGGAATGCCAATGTCGACGAGGCGAGTCGGTAGCCATCCTGGTCGTACAGTTGGGGGGCTTCGACATTTTCCATGATTTGTTTTGCATTTCTTAAACCAGTTGAGGGCCTGGCTCAGCGATGAAGGTGAGGCAGTACTGCCTGCCAAGATCGTCGGAAACTCTGGTAAAGGGCTATCTGCGTGGAAGTCTCAGCAACTGTATGCTTGAAATCGGCATGCAATGTACCTGCAAGGCGATTCAAATGAATCATGATATTCACGTCGACTGTGCCAGACCAGAAGTTTGGGTGTCGAAACGCCACAACAACTATCTGATCCACGGTTTGAGCAAAGTCAACACGCATCTTATTGTTGTGTCGGAGGATTTGGAATTTGATTGGCTTCCAGATGGTTGCCCATACTTCTGGTGCAACTAAGAGATGATCGTGATTCCATAAAGTGGAGCAAATGAAGCAATTGTTTGAAGCCGCCCTCCTGAAGCTCTCGAAGCTTTGGCCTTCAGGGGTAATGACCCATAGCTTTTCGACGTTATCAAACAGAATGTGTTTTGATCGCAAGCCGTCTTCAGCTTGAATAACTTGCTTGCAGATCGAACATAGAAATGAAGTAGGATGTTCCATTGCACTACGAGTGGGAGTGGAAACTGACGGAGACAGCTTTGTTGTGTTGATCTGCTCTTCGTGTACTGTAGATGAGTGATTATTCGACGGTGTGTCCCTGGCAATATGTGCTCTTATCACCTGACTTGCTGAGTCAGGATGACATCCACAAGAAACGAACCAACATTCCGTCTTCGTCGTTGTACAGAGGCGAATACAACAATGAACATCGACGAATCAAGATTGCAGCTTTTCGGAGATTTCAGCAGCAATGCAACCGGCACAAGATGCGAAGATGACTAAAATTCTAATTGAACAGTGCGGATTGGCTAACACTAGAAACACAACACAATACAAGTTGCGATTGAAGTCTCGTGCATGGATTGACATGGAGAAAAGAGGCTGTTCGAAAATGCTTGAAATCAAACTACCTTACTATCACCGACCTCCCTTTTTGGTACGTCCTTCGACCGAGCCAAATCAAATCCCAAGCGCTCGCTCAAGCCACAACCAAACGCCCGTTCCCAGCCCCCATCTAGCTGTCTTGAAAAGTCCTCGAATGGCTCCATGCCTGGTCTCGTTTACTGGGCGATTCGTCTTGCCATGGTGCATGGTGTTGCTTTCTGAACCGGAGCCCGAACTGGCGGAAGTCTGCTTCGTGACTTGCGACTTTTCTTCGTAGGCTTTGTCCATCTCCTCAATCGCCGGGAGCCCCCAATTTTCCATCCAATCTCCCTTCATGAGATCTTCTGCTTTGATTCTGTCCTCTGGAAGCCAGCAGAAAATCTGCTCCAGCATCAATAGCAGATCTCGCAACTCTCCAGGTGGGACTTTCTCATCTTCATCCCCATCTTCCCAAATTCCAACCAGCTTCTCTGATCTATCTTTGTCTATGAGCTGCACAATGTGGTCTGAAAGATTGGTAGGGTCTCTGTTCCGAGGCGTCTCGTTGTCGGGGTTCGAGCCGTTATCATTGTTACCGGAGTCGATATCCGCCTTCGACGCATCCAACCATGTCTGTGGAGGCTTGCCAAGAACATGGACCATTTCGGCCCAAACCTCTTCGAACCCAGGAAAATAGGTTTGGAAGACGCTGTAACGCGCATAGAGCTCGACGATAATGCAGCCCAAAGCCCACACATCTGCAGGAAACCCAATAGGCATGCGAAGCTTCTCCGCAACCAATGCCTCAGGAGCGCGAGATTGCTCTGGTATATCGAGTTCATATCTATCATGCTCAGCGGGTCTCCATGATTCCCCGAAGTCACTAATCCGGAGCTTTGCATCATAAAGACGCAATTTGTGGGCATGTTTGTCGTTGAAGTACATCTTACCCACCAGGTAAGGTGGCGCATTTTCTGGGATGGATTCGTCAAAGTCGCTGACCTTCTTGCAAATGTCTATTGGATACTGTTGCGGCAAGCCGAAGCTGGTGTAGAGGTCTCGAACACTGCGCTTCGATAGCTCTTCATCTGGTAACGCTAGCAGCAGATTTCCGCTGTGTAAGTCTGAACAAAGTGTTAGCCTTGCTTCCTTTCAGGGAATGACAATCGATGATTGATATGGGACTTGCCTCCGTGAACAACTCCTTGGGAGTGCATATATGCAACGCCCTGTATGAGCTGTGCAATCAAAGCTCGAGCAACTTCAAGACGAAATAACCAGTTTGGATGGCTCCTGAATTTGCTTTGAGCGAGATTGATACAAGTTGGCTCACTGACAAAACAGCGATGACTTCCGTTCGGACCTTCTATCTTGAAAGTGTCCAAGCAGGGGTGAATGACCTCTGCTCCAGGGTGTGGCGAAGGGTCGCCTCGCAGTCGTTGAAGGATTGCCTGCTCATCGGAAGGAAAGTCATCAGGTTCGCGTTCGGTCTCTGCACACGCGATCTTAATAGCAACCTTTCGACCCAGGATTTCGTCGTGCGCAAGCCATACGGTCGAGAACGATCCGTTCCCTAGTTTGTTGATGATGGTGTACCTGCCATGAGAAAGCTGATCTCCCAGTTGAACCGGATGGAGGAAGCCTTCTTGGTAAAACCAGTAGCTTTCATCGGGCTCATCATCGTTGTATAGAAGGATTCGCATCATATTTAGATCCTCTTGAGAGTATGGCTCGCGAGCTGCCAACAGGGACACCATCATATCCCGCTCGGAAGAGACATGGTTTAAAAGGATACGCTGGGCATCTGCGGCATATCGGCCTGGTGGAAGCTTAGCCATCACGGAATGTATGTAGCCCATTGCGACTGACGGTCGTGGTGTGGAATGAAAAGAGGTGTAAGAAGTGCAGGAGTCAGGTTGTTTCAATATTAAGAGGGTTAACCTGAACTTAAGCATCGCAGGGCGTCCGGGAGCTCAAATTTATGTGTTCAGCTGGTGTTTCAAAGCCGCATAGAAGCCATTGCATATCATAAGCGAAAGGTCTGCAAGAACACAAAGTAAATGCAAGGGAGTCAGAAACTTTGGAACAAAGAAAAGTCTGTCAAGAGCAGGCCCTGGCTGCCAATCAAAGCAGCGAGCAAGGTTCTCTCTTGGCGGACGTCCGGAAGGCAGAGGCATTCAAAGACTACGGAAAACAAACCAAAAGTATACACGCATTGAATCATTGGCCATTCAACACACGAAGAGACTTAGGCAAAGATTCCAAAGGGTGATGTTGTTCAGAATCCGATTCTTTTGGGACCCGACATTGCACGCCTTTTGGTTCGAAAGATTCTTTTACGCAAAGTTAGCTCGAGAACACGATGCGATCGCTGTTGATACTCGACAAATATAGCTCGATCAACACAATCGCATTGTTTGAAACGCATGTAAACACAGCTCGTGAGTAGCGATCATCGCGCAAAAGGGACTATTAAATGGGAAGCCATGGGGTTCGAAAACCACCAAGCATCAACACAGCGTACCGCCAATACAATCTCTCGAGCAGCAGAACCATAAACCGAACACGAAATTCAAGCGATGACAACCGAAAACCCTAAGTTGGGAATGGTGGAGGTCATTTGGAAGATAGGTATACCACCAGATGAATCTCATGCCACTGCACTATTGGGTGCCCATTGGAAAACAGTCATTGACAACCAGTATTCATGCGATTCGATGCTAATTAGGTGAGTCTCAATTCGGCATATAACATGGTAAGTAGGCTAAAGGCTAACAAACTTCAGGTCTGATCTTCACAATTCAACGAAAATGACTTTCATGACACGCAAATTTCCTATCCAAAAATCCGGATATGTCAAGGACGACTGGCATATAACCACTTCTTTTAGAAACGGAAATGAATTTATCACCGCTCATGGGTATACACCAGGGAATGGGAACTACAATGTTCATCGAACAACAGTGACCTGTCCATTGCCAGCTCCAATTACGGCGACAAACAAAGACGGTTCCAGAGTGTGGCCGGTTGAACCGCTGGATCCCAAGTACACTCGGCGAATGTACCATGAATCGTACTTGGACTCCCTCATTTGTAAGTGAAGCGCAATTGAATTTCAATCGCGATAGGTTTCTTTTTCTAAATGCATTTATTCGATGGTGTGGATCTATTGTAGTAGAAGCAGTTCAAGGACAGCAGGTATGATTTGTATGGTCGCAAAAACGTTGGAAGCCTTCTGAAATAAGGCGTCGCCACGTTTATACTGTGAACCAAAACCTTTTACATGATCATTTTGTGGCTTGATTACCCAAGTCAGTGTAAGGATGTTTACTCTCAGAAGAAGATCAAAAAGAAGCGTTTCTGATCATCCCCCCCAAAAACGTGTTCGTTGTCTCCGAATGGAAGAAGTCAGATATTTTCGAGGTACATGTTATAAGCTTCCGCGAGAAGCCCAATTATCCTGCTACAAATAGGTTCAGGAAAGCCTCTGCGAACTGACAGACCCGAACTGTAAAAGTTGGGCAAAGGTTGATCCTCTCCATGTGCTTTGTTGAGTACTCTGTATGACTCTTTGTGCTCTGAAGAATCAGACCAAATGCAGGGAAACAGAATTGATTGCCTATCCATAAGCTATTGACTATAATAATTGTAGAAAGAGGGCGATGAAGTTGCGAAAAGATTAAATCTTCGTTATTCTGCAGATACCGTGTCCTAGGCCTGTTGCTCCAGTTACCTGCTGGCAACCTACGTCGCTGCCTAACGACTGCACAGATTCTCACACGAGTCTGATGATTTGATTTCAATGCATGCCTCAACCAGTACTCAACTTGTTGGGGCTGTCGAATTGCAATAGCCCACCGCATCTTTCAATCATAGCCTGCTGCCTTCAAACAAACACAATATGTTTACCTTCGCCACAGGTTGTGGTATTGTTAGTACTGACGGACGTTCATCAACTTACCTCCAATTCCTGGGAGCTTTGGATCGTTTCGTTCGTCGCGATGCCCGCTGTTCAAGCTTAAGGTGTGAGAAATCTTTCACTAGAACACTGTTCAAGTAGTCCACGCTCAAGGACTCTGTTAGGCAATCGGAACTTGACGGCCATAGCTTCTTATCCCCTCTTTTCTTATCAAAAGGTATGTTGGTCGTCACTGTTGAATCTACGACGTCATAATTGTCCCTACCTTTTGTGTATCCATGCGCTGTGGAGAATGTGCGATCAGTGTCTGGCCATGAGGTTGTGACGTGCCAGTCGTCAGGTACTGGTCCTGTTCTCGTCATTTTGGTGTTATGCAATCCGGACCTGGTGCCGTCGCAGTCAGTAAAATTATTCCACACTAGTGAGTGCCAGGGATACTCACCGGATCACAACTGTCTTGACCTCGTCTGCTTTCCCATCATGGCCATGCAAAGCATTAAGCCAATGTGCTTTGAGTGCTAGCTCTGCCATATCTGGTCGTACTGGCTTGTCACACTTCCATATTACCTCGACGACACCCGCAGAATCCGAGTCCGATGAAGAGGGCGAGGACATTGTTGTAATGATGATGCCAGCGATCGGGGTAATGCTGGGCTGGTGTTTTGCTTTCTATCTCGTTACATCCTACAGGTCAAGGCCTGAATTTGCGCATCTAGGGAGTCATTTTATGTAAAGTCGCAGATAGGCAGTCATGTTACTGAACATTAAATTCAGCAGTAGGTAACTTGGACACGCGATACTGTGAGAACAGAGGCATTGTTTCCGCCGAACTTCCCTTTGACACGTTTCATTGAGTCATTGACCCCGACTGCAAAACGAATGAACTCGGGTTTGAAACAAATGAAAGAACATAAGTTCAGAAATGGCCCTTTGGACTCTGAAAGCGCCGTTTTGTCTTTGCGGTGTTGACCACATCGTCTGAATGCAGCCATCCTTCAATGAAAGGAAATGGCTTGAAGCAAGGAGCTTCTTCCATTAATATATTATGTCATAGTCAAAGGAAGGAAAACATCATTGGATCCGCGTAACCCTACGGTCCAAATTTAGGTGAAAGGAAATCAGCTCTTTATTAGACCAGATATGTCTGGTCATGTCCAGCGAAGCCTGCCCGACAAATACAAAAGTCCCGAGATCTCCCGCATGAACAACGCGACTGTGTCTCCGGCAAATAGATTTTCTTGGCAGATCGAAGACTATCACTTTGCAAGCTAACCATTCTCGCTCACACCCACTATGGAAGCAATCCCACCAACCGAAGACACAGCCACTTACACTCCGTTGCGTTGACAGCGTCCGCCCCCCCTTTTTGCCGAAATTACGCACGCATAATCCCTGTATATACATGAAAATTTGCCCAACGCCACGTAGATATTCGTAGTACGGCAATTGACCTATTCTGATGGCTTCAATTGATCTATTTCTATTGAATCTCATTATCTGAGGGCATCGTGATGCCTCCTAAACGCCGCCGCGCGGCTCGGCAGGCGGATGATGACCCTTCTGGGCATCGTCCGTCACCCATCGCCAACGGTACGCGGAAACAACGACGTATACAACAACTGGCACAGGACGCCGCCAGAGATCCTCCTCAACGCTCTGCCTCGCCGTCGATCAGGATCGTTACGCCCGCCGAGAGGGCTCGCCGGGCTGCCGCCGCCGAAGAGGCCGCCGAGGAGGCCGCCGAGGAGGTTATCGTCGCCGAGGCTGGACCCGAGACTAATGATTTGGTGGCGGCTGAGTCTACATCGCGAAGAAAGCGTGTACTTATAGCCCCTCCGTCATCACGAAGAGCTCCAAAAGCGTCCTCTCGCCAAAAAGCAACGACAACGCAGAGGAAGCGAAAGAAGGATCCGCCGCATACGATCCGGCTCCGAAGTACTCTGCCTTCGTCGATGCCACCGTTTCGACCAGACTCGACCCCAGTTAACCCAACCCCTCGTCAAACCACTCGATTTGCGGACGATACGCCTACGGCCCCTCGCCATAGCGCTGATGATACGTTTATGTCGTTCCACGATGTATTTGAAGAGGAGGACGATATGGGTAACGAGGAACCAACTCTGCTACAAATCCAGGTTACCCGTGGCCCAGCGCTCAAGGGTAACGGTTTACCTGTTCTCGATCTAACCATCGAGAGCATCGCGTATAACAGATTCAGTATTGCTCCTGTATTAGATGCGAATAGTAGAGACTGGGAGGCAGACAGCGGCGCCCAACTTGAGGCAGAAGTGGCTCACTCGTATATTGTGAAGAAGGCCAATATCGCTGTTGTCGTTGCTTGGAGGAAGCCCACCAACGCATCTAAACCAACACCAATCTTCACTCGGGTCTATCCGTCTACTGGAGGGGTCACTTGGCCAAGTATTCCATGGGTTGATATTGTCCCCTCTCTTGAACAAGCTGAAGAGAGGGGTGAAGTCCACCTCACCGTCAAGTGGCAATACAGCGCCGTACCAATCTCTGGTGGTATAGTGACTGGCGTACGAACGCCTCGAAAAGGTGGCCGAGCAGGCGTTTCAGCCGGCATGCAAGAGGCGATCGATCGTGAGGCTAACGATCCTGCAAACGTCGAGCGTCGGAAGGAGGGTATGCACAGACAACTTCTCCGTACGCACATCTGCCCAGAGTACCAGAGATGTAAGAATAGTTCGGGCGACGAGAAGTTCAACTGGTGCTATATACTAGGCCAGAAGCACTACAAGATCAAATCTCACCATATAGAGAAGTGGGCGAAGGCTATTATGACTGGACAGGCTGGCGTTGACAATATGGAACCACCTAAAGAACTGCTTGGTGAGATTCTTCACGACCAGTTTATAGAGGATCAGAAACGCCAGGGCAAGAGAAGTAAGAATATCGTGGAGGTTGATGATAACCAGGAGACGACAGTGATGACGGAAGAGAAGGCTGAAAATGCCGCACTTCCATCATCAGGGTCAAGATCTGGCCTAACCAACGCCAACAGCAACGCCATCGTCAATATATACGGCAACGCGGGGGCGCCAGATCGTCATCTTCAATATCCTAACCCATACGTACAGCTGCCGCCGCCGGCGCCGCCGCCGCCGGCATATTGGCCATATGCGAACATCTCACAGTATTCGTTGCCAACTCTTCCGCCATTGAACCTTCCAAGCACTCGTCAACCAAGTATCGCACTCCCGATTCGTTCGTCCTCGCCAGTGGTACCGGATTCGCCTCGAAAAGCTCTAGATCAAGTGGCCAGCTTCATCAAGTGGTTTATATCCGTCCGCGGCAAGCGATATAACGTCGACGAAGGGTTCAGAAAGAAGCTACAGAAACTGCGATCAGTAGACAGTAGCTTGCGGGCAATTCGCAAGTTACCAGATATTTGGTTTACTGAACAGGGTTTTACTCAAGATCTTACCGAAGATGTCAGGAACTCGATCAAATCCTTCATAGACAACAGCGCCTACTACGGAGGGCAGTCTGACGCCCTCTCCGACGTGGTATCTCACTCTGAACTTCATTCAAACCATCGAGAGTCAGAAGGAGATGTTTATACAAGAATATACGCTGGATTGCCAGGAGGGACGGCGGCGGCGCCAGTTGAAAACTCTGCGGCGCTAGTTTCAGGCGAGTTGGGGTCATCCCGACATATCGACGCCCTAGTGCCACGTCAATCCATCGAGCAAGAGATCCGTGGTACGCCAGTTGAAGTTGGTCGACGTGGTGAGTGTATATAGAGCTGTTTACTGTCGAATATGGCTAACTTTGTAGGCGTTTCGGAACTCTTTGGTTTCGTTTCGTCACCACTGCTGTCAGCGTCGCAGATGCTGCCCACGCAGTTACAGATCGAACAAGACGAAATCGAGCAAGGCGATGAGGACAATCAGATTGAAATCTCGAGTGATACGTCGTCAACAGAGACGTATTACTCGGAGGAGGATAACGAAGAAGAGTGATACAGCAAGAGTGGTGTGAAGTTTGACTGTATGCGCGATTTTTTTGCATGACGTGTTCAACCACGGAAAAGTCTACCCATAGCCGTAGATTCAACACTGCCGCTCTATACGTATAAAAGCAATAGAATTACTGTTATTTTGGATCTGCAAACAATACACTTCGGTCCATCCCGATACTGGTTAGGGGCAGTTGAAGTCTCTGACTATGGTTGAAGTCTCTGATCGTGATGACGTGTCATCATCACAAATCATCGTCACAAGCATCAACAACGCGTTTCAGCCGTTATACAGGCAAAATTGATATGTATACGTAGCTACCGACGAAAACAATGGACGACGGTATATTTTTTGTGTTCTGGTGCGCTTGTGGCTAACCTTTTGGCAATCTTGTTGGCTACAATCATGGATTTGATGATTGACCATCATATGACGACACGATTAAGATCTATTGCGCGCGAACGCACGATGAAAATTTGGATTGCTTGCTGATGTTCAATATTGGCAGCAAATCCTCCCTTTTATAGTTCGATATCGTCAAATATATGCTCTGTCCCATCAAAGTTGACGAACGAATGGCGGAAATGGCCCTCGATCTGGGGTAGACGATACCCAATCTCCATAGCGCAGTCACGTAGATATTCCATGAAATCCCGAGTGTCATTCTCATCGTTGTTCCACTTCGAATACGTCTTCCTGATGTATCGCTTTAGATCGCCGAAGTACTCTTCGATGGGGTTGAAGTCTGGTGAATACGGAGGCAGAAACTCGAGATGGACACCTGATACCCGGCATAAACCCTCGATTTCAGGTATACGATGGCAGGAGAGGTTATCCATAACGATGACAGAGTTTGGCTCTGGAAAACGCCCACATTTCGGGATAAGGCACTCCTGTAGCCAACGAAAGAACCCATCGCCGTCAGTCGTACCATAATACGTAGTCAAGTGTAGGATACCGCTCAACGTGAGGGCTGGCAGGATCTGTACGCGAGAGTTCTGAAACCGATCAATCTCTGCAGTTCGAAACGCAGCAAGCCCTTTCGGCGCCCATCCAGTCCTCCGTATCCCAGTATCCTTATTGACGCCGGATTCGTCGACGAATACCAGCTGGTCGGGGCGATATCGTCGTATACGGTACAAGTACTCGTATCGTAGTTCGTCACTTCGCTGAGCAGCAATAATCTTGGACTTCTTGTTCGTCCAGCCAGCTGAGTTTAACTGTCGACTGATTGCAGAACGACTGATCTGGATCTCGAAGGCTTCAAATAGGAAATCTTGCATCTCTTCAAGAGATAGATCGCTGCGGTACTGCAGTAGTTCAAGAAGCTCTGTACGATGCCATATTTCCATCTTTTGTCGACTCTGGCGGCACCTCTTATATCTCTGCACTTCGCCAGTGATATTACGTCGTGATCTATGTCGTCGAATCGTTCGTTCGGTACAGCCAACGATACTTGCCAGCTCGTGGGTCTTTTGGTCTTCGAATGGCAGTATCATCGCGATCGTCGATAGCTGTAGATTCGATATTCTGGGCGCCATTGTATCGTCGTCGTCGCCCGGCGTCTTTCTCGATGTATCTGATATAATAAACCACGGACATGTACTGACCAGCGGCAAACTGTAAGTAACAGGGCACAATCTATACAGCAGTAGACTCTTGCTCAATATCGTGAACAAGCTGAGCTATCAGGAGAGTCATTAATCCTGTTGACTGCCAAAGCATTTGCTCTGAAGAACCGTATCAAGCCCCTTGGTATGCTTATATATTACTCAGAGCCATACAAACCGTATGCTGAGTAGATATATAAAGTCATACAGCAGGTCTCTTCTTCTGTTCCTCAGCAAATGTCATCTTGATCTCTCATGACGAAAATAGACCTTTTGTTGGTCGAATGGTATGGGGATGAGGTGACTAGCTGGGTTGGCAATGCCTCGATGGGTAGATTGACTGCTACGGAAGCATGAAATACACACCTTATGTCTCTATCGTGTAGTTATACGTTTGAATACTACTGGGACTATAGTGATTGACGGCAATTGAGGTGTTGGTGATGACTTTGACGCGTTTTGCGTGCGATGCAGAGAAATGCGCGTCACAGCGTAAAATTGGCTTTTTTTCATGTTTTTGCATAAGCGGGGAAAAAAAAGGGGGGCGGACGCTGTCAACGCAACGGAGTGTACATGAATGAGGTTGATGACTACAAACTTTACTGGGAGACGGAGGACGAAGAGCGACCGCAGCACTACTTTCCTGGCAGCTACCATCCCGTCAAAATTGGCGACACATTTTCAAATGGAAGATACACCATCGTCCACAAACTAGGTCACGGTGGTTACAGCACAGTCTGGCTAGCTCGCGATAAGAGTCAAGACCAATTCGTCGCACTGAAGATTATGGTCCCCGAGCAGCAATCGCAGTTTGAGTTACAGAACTACGGCGTCGAAATCGAACTTCTTCGTGAGCTTCATCGAATTCCCACGGGCCACCCCGGAAAATCGATGCTTATGTCTTGTCTGGACTCATTCAGTCACGATGGACCCAACGGCACTCATCTCTGCTTCGTGAGTCTGCCCCATCGGATCAGCGTTGGCCAAAGCAGGCATGAGTCCCAAGGTAGTGGAACATTCAAAGTTCAAGTGGCACGGGCAATGGCTGCTCAAATGATCATTGTCTTGTCTTTCCTTCATGCGAATGGCGTGGTACACGGAGGTAGGTGGAAATCACAAGGCTCAGATCATGGCAAGCTAACCCTGAAACAGATTTTACTCCCAATAACCTTCTTCTTGCACCGCCTAACCTGTCTGGTATGACAACTGATGAGCTCTACCGCAAATATGGTGAGCCATTCAGAGCGATGACGGAGCGCCATGACGGGAAACCAGTTCCCCGAGGTGTTCCGCCGTATATAGTGCCGGAAATCTGGTTTGGTGACCGAAGCACAGAATTGGAACTTTGCAACGCCAAGGTTACTCTGACTGACTTGGGCGAAGCCTGGAGGCCAGCGCTTCGCTCACGATATCATCTCAACACTCCAGACAAGTATTGCGCCCCGGAAGCAAATTTCGCCGAGAATGAAAACGTTCCTCTGGGTTTTCCGTCGGACGTCTGGTCTCTAGGCGTAGGGATCTTCGAGTTGTTCGGCGGTAGTCTCTTCGAGGCGTCACCAGACCCAGATGACATGCTCGAAGATATGATCAACGTACTCGGAAAACCGCCGCAGAGATGGTGGGATATGTGGGAAGCCAAGGAGGACTTCTTCAGTGGAGGGGAGGCATGGGATGAGAATGGGCACAGCCCGCAAATCACGCACGTTTTGCTCGAAGAAAGATTGCGGGTATGGGTTGACCGCTACCAGAGGGGCAGCATGACGACGGAAGAGATAGAGGACCTGCACGAACTCGTCAAGCAGATTCTCCGCTGGGAGCCTGACGATCGACCTACCGCGGACGAGCTGCTTCGCGCACCCTGGATGAATAAGTGGGGACTTCCTGCTCTGGACGCGATGTATGAGACTCGCGGAGAGAAGCACAACATCATGGCGGAGATAGATTCTGTCAATCGGATGAGACAGCCATCTGTGGGGGACGAAAACTTACCCACTACAAGCTATCTGACCGATGTGCTTGGTTTCTCTATACCTGAGATGGTAGCTTGTTGGTGGGAAAAGGCACGAGGGGTATTCAATTTTTCTGGGGCATAGGCTTGGTTATAATCTGGCTTGTATGTGTTGCGCCATGGTTGGCATTGACTGAAATAAAGTTTGCTTCCATGTAGTCTGCTCCGACAATCTCTAATGTTCTAAAAATATAATCGTTACATAGGTATAGGAGTGTTTCATTGGAAGGCTCCCGTTTCCCGCACCGAATTTAAGGTACCAAACTCATGAAAGCTTTTAGGACTGCGATTTGTTGAATCCAGCGCATGAATTTCAGAGAGCTTTGCCTGGAAGGCTTCTTTCGAACAGTTGCTTGGTTGGTGTTGTTCGTCTCTTTAATTTCTTCCAGCGGAGGTACAAACACGGCTGAAAGCGGAGAAAGATTTGGTTTCCCACAAACTTCACCTCACCCACCCTGGCTTCCTAACTTCACCCCTACGTCGTTTTTTCCTTATATGTCTTCAAATTCCGAGTATTGAGCATTTACTCTTCGTGTTTGAACTCTATCCTCAACATTTTGTTGGTATCCTATTTCTTTCCTTCCAGAAAGGTGGCCCCGAACTCCCCATGCCCCACTACCGAGGCAATGGACGTGTCCAGCGGCAGTTCTTGCCTTGTCGAAAAGAAAGCTAAAGGCGAAACGGCATCGCGTCAATCAAACATCGATTTCACCTTTGGGGAGACATGGACACAGGACTATTTAGACGAGCTGGATATCCTGGTCTGGAATGATGACGAGCCAGAAGAGTTCTACGCAAATTACTTTCCAGAAGGAGGGCTGCATCCAGTCCGAGTTGGAGATCAATTCGCCCATGGAAGATACATGATTTTCCACAAGCTTGGCCGCGGAAGCTTTGCAACTGTGTGGCTTGCGCGTGACGAGAAGTTGAACTGCAATGTCGCGATCAAGATCACCGGAGCTCATTTTACCAAGTCATCAAACGAAGTCGATGTTCTCAAATTCATTGCAAGTAACGAAGTCCCTAGTGTCAGCCGCGAGTACCTGCAAATCCTTCTCAATCACTTTGTTCATCAGGGACCCAACGGCATTCATAGTTGTGTCGTCAGCAAACCAGCCTGGTTTACAGTTGCTCAAGGTCTTTTCCGCATGCAAAAGAGGCGATCTTTGCCCGTAGAAGTAGCCCGAGCTATTACAGGCCAGTTGATCACTGGTCTGGCCGCTTTGCATGCCATCGGCATTGTTCATGGAGGTGTGTACTGTCAACGGATTCGTCTGAAGGTCGCTAACTCGAATACTAGATTTGCATCCCGGCAATATCATACTGGCACATCCAGATCGGACATTCACATCGCAAACCATTGAAGAACTATACAAGTCGTACGATCGGCCTACAAAGATTCCACTGCACTTGTACCAAGCAGCCACTCTCGAAAAGCCTCCGATCCCCGATAACGCGCCACCATACATTGTCGCGAGTTTGTACGCCCCAGGCGGATTCGATACTATTGAGCTTTCGGACGCTGAGGTTATAATTGGTGACTTCGGTGAGTCATGGAGACTATCGCAGGAGACGAAGCACGAACTTACAACATGGCCTCCCTCTCGAGCACCCGAATCCTTGTTTGGGAAGAGACTCAACCTCACCATGGATCGACCTTCCGATATCTGGTCTCCTGGATGTCTAGTTTACCGCCTCTTTGGAGTGAGGCCCATCTTGGATACGGTCCATTATGACCCCGAGGAGAACTTTGTGAGAGCGGTTAGAATGATTGGAAAGCCACCACAACAGTGGTGGGATCTGTCGGAGAAGAAGAACGGGTTTCACCACAATGCGGGCAACGATAATGAAGCTCACGATGATTTGAACGAATACGAAACCATCGACGAAACCAGAGCATCATTGAGGCGTCGGGTCATGGTTTGGCTCAAGGAAGATCGCGGTTCTGATATGACGGACGAGGAGCTCGAAGACGTGTTGGCTCTTCTAGAACCCATGTTTCACTGGCTTCCCAACGAAAGAACGACTGCTTCTGATCTGCTGTCCTCACCCTGGATGAAGAAGTGGGGACTACCAGCCATGGAAACCACGAAGAGAGAGCGGGAAGCGAAGAAAGAGGAGGGAGCAATGATAAGCAGCTCGACACAGAGTCACCAAGCTTGCGTCAATGGCGAGACTGGTATCTGTGAAGATTGAAATTAGGATAGAAGTCAATCCGAACTCTGTGGTGTCTGATACGAGCCAGCCCGTCACCTCACAACTAAATGTCGCCTCATATGCAGATTTCCCTTGGTACAGGAATGGTGGGCTGTTCTATGGGCTGGCAGAAGTGCTCACGAGGAGCGTCTGGAAAGCACGAAGTCTCACTGGCAAATTCAACACAACCAGCCGCAAGGGATAGACTCACAGGAAGCTTGTGTAAGAACATAAAAAGTCCATGAGATTATAAGGATAGTAAGTTCTGAACGTAAATAAAAATTGGATTTCTATAGTGGGTTGAAATGCAAGTACAGACAATCAAAACGCCATGAGAACCAAGATTCAACCGCATCGAAGGCGCAGGGAAAGGCCACGTCCAGCAGACCCACGTCAAAGCTATCAGAGACTGGGCCATTCAGCAGCCGAATTTCCTGGGTGAATATTAACGAGCCCATTGAGGTATGCTCCACTGTAGATATCCATCTCATACTTAGTTGGATCTCAGGGCATTGTCGGCCATGTGAAACGTTCGCTATTATTTGGTTTGGAAGAACGATTGTCTGTCCGCGTGACGAAAAGAATAGTGAAGTCATCCAAGCTGGCCGTATAGCCATGGGACGTGCAATGTGTGTGATCATTCTTCTTTCGCTTGTATGAGGAATGTCACATGAGGGGCCTTCTCGTGCCCAGGTGGATGTGAGCTAATTTGCCCTTGGCGTCTCTCCAAAACCAACGTAGAAGTGATGTGATTGTCAGATCTGCGCGACGTATCTATCAGCATTTCAGGGGATCAAAGCGAAGGTACGCGTATGATAACTGATTACCTGATCACAATTGTGTCTGGCGGTACTCCGTTTTCGGAGTCGAGGGCAGTCTTCCAGTGTGCCCCGAGAAGTCTCTCAACATGGCGCTTCAAAGTTGGCCGATAACCTTTCCAGATGACCTCAATCTTCCTATTCTCTGTAGAGATGGCCATATTGGCAAAGCTGGGATTCGATTCGTCAAGAGATTGAATAAAATATCACGCATTGATTGCTGTTCTTCAGTGTTTCCGTCGAGACTCGAGACCTTGCACTTCTCATATTTATGTTATCTATCTCAAAGTTATTTTCTGCCTTACGTTCAAAGATGTACACGTCTTTGTGACTGAACTTTCGGGGAAGACGACATATCTTCTTGCTTTGCTTGTATGGTCAATAGTATGGAGTCAGTGTCTTCGGGTTGGATCATTGTCATCCATTTCCGAATCCGTCAAGATGAAGGGAAGCACTGTAGTCCAAAATGAACCAGAGAATGCACAGGAGAGGCATGAGACACATCGAATTGAATGTCGTTTAGGATTCAAAAGGGTATGAATATGCAGCGTGTCGTCCGGTGCCAAAGATTCTCATGCAGTAACGAATCTTCCATTTGCGTCCCCCTGGTATATTGTTTTCCAAGGTTTCTTTCTCACTTTGAGACAGGAGTAGAACAAATTTCAAATCGATTGAATGGCAATCAATACATTGAAAGAGAAAACACGGGCGGTCTGCGTATATTCACCCAGGCCCTTTGCCCCACAAAATAGCCGGAAACAAACAATCGCTGAATGGCCTCACGTAAGGAAGGTGTTCACCGTTGCCCTTACTTCCGACGTGAGCACTTGCCCTTCCTTCCAACTCTCATCTTCTTCTGAGATTTCGTCCAAACAAATTTGAAACTTATGTCCTCTCATAACTGCACTTCCTTTCGAGATTCACAGGCCGCATCTCTCCTCGAAGACGATCTCGTTCAATCCAACATCACCTTTCCGCTTGCCTCAACCAGTGCGACGATCATGAGCACTCCCGACAAGGTCACTGGAATGATTCCCGTCGCCGAATCCGATTCTCAAGCCGCTGCTATTGAGCTTGTCGCCGCCAATCCAATATGGACCATAGATGAGTTAGAGCAGGCGGAAGGCATTCTATTCGATGCGCCTGAAGAGTATTTGAGCGATTACGCACAGGGCGGATTTCACCCTGTTCAACTTGGAGATCGACTGGAAGACGGCAGGTATATCGTTTTCCACAAGCTTGGGCATGGCGGATTCTCGACCGTCTGGCTTGCCCACGATGAGAAGTTGGGTCGCAACGTTGCCATCAAGATATTGAAGGCTGATGTAGCCGGATGGACCAACGACGGGTACAATTTTGGTCCCTCGGTGTTTGGCACGCCTATTCACATTCAGAGCGACTCCTTCCGCCATGATGGTCCAAATGGCTCTCACTTGTGCTTCGTTAGCACCCCAGTCCGCACCACGGTGGCTCAAAGTCAAGCTGAGTGCCAACGCAGTCGATTATTTCCACTTGAGACAGCGCGGGCCATCGTGGCACAAGTCATTCAAGGACTAGCGTTGCTACATGCTTTCGGCATCGCCCACGGAGGTACGTTTGGGGAATTGATGACCACAATCTCGCGCTGACACAGATCTTAGACTTACATCCAGGCAACATTTTTCTGAAGTTCAGAGATGCGGAGATGGCTGACTGCAAGGTCTCTGACGTCTATGCTGCCTATGGAACGCCCGAGAAGGTCCCTCTTCGCAAGTACCAGACTGCTTCTCTAAAGGGGACAACGCCGGCTCCAAAAGGCCCCCCTTACATCGTCCGCAGGATTATTACGAACAGCGGATGCGACACTATTGCTATAGACAGAGCCAAAGTTGCTATCGGTGACTTTGGAGAGTCATGGACCCCTGGCATGACCACGAGATACGAGCTGGCTACACCGGCACTCTACCGAGCGCCTGAGTCGATGAATGCCAAAGAGAAGAATCTGCCCCTTGAATTCCCTTCAGACGTGTGGTCTCTTGGCTGCATCATCTATAACATCTTCAGTTCCCGAACTGTGGTTGAATCCCTCGGCCCCAACTTCAACTACATACACGAGCAAATTTGCCACATGCTCCTTCAAGACCACGATTCCGATGACTTTGGCCCGCCGTTGAAGGAACGCGTTCTTGTCTGGCTGAAGAAAACTCGACGCGGAGATATGTCGGATGAAGAGCTTCAGGACATCTATGAACTACTGAAGTGCATTTTCTGCCTGGAGCCTCAGGACAGGATCACTGCTTCTCAATTGATGTGCGGTGACTGGATGAAGAAGTGGGGAGTCCCGGCATTGAAAGCCATGGAAGAGGCTTATGGAGCGCAATCCAAGCAGAGAGAATGAGCAAGACCTAACTCTGACCAATCCAGAACGAGGAAGTGTCTAACCAGGTCGAAAACATAGGTGGACAGTGAGGCTGGCAGGTGAAACAAGGGAAGAGGGGCCGTCGAATGTACAGCCGAGAAGACGAAGAACGAGGAGAAGGACTTTGATACTAAAGCCCATAAGGCGCAAAAGGATGACAAGTAGACACTCTGAGTAATGATGGCATTCCAAGATTTTTGAATCCCTCAACAGGGAACTGGGCAAGCTGTATAAAGATCCCGCGACCGAGTGTTTTAGTGTGTTAAACTTTGATTCAGTATGGTCAACATGCCAACCGTGAATTGCCGATGCAACTCGTGTCCACCTATAAAAGTATCTTTAAATCAGTCCAAACCATCCCGTCGGCCTTCCACCACGACAAGCCCTAGCTAGTATCATGGCCATAGTCTTGTCCCGAGCAACTGGAGCCCAAGTCTTCTCGAGGCCCTCCCTTGAAACAGGCTTGGGAGTTTCTACTTTCACCTTGAAGTACATCTTCTTTTGCGCATCCAAGCTCTCTGACTCTATACTTGTACGGACCCTTTCCATGGGAACTCTTACTCCATCGACCGTGACCTCCAGCACCAGATTCTGCTGGCCAGAGGGGATGGCTTTCGCGAAGCCTTCAACAATTACGTCGAGGAATGAGCGGTTGCCGCCTTGGACAACCTCAAATCTCTCAACTACTAACTGGGGACGGGGCGCCGTTGCATTCGGAGAGTGATCAAGCTGCAAAACATCCGAGTCGAGGAGAGGTGTATAAGGCGGCGGTACACGGTGCTGCGTCTTCGTCTCAAACGCATGCGCCCACTTCAGCAACTTGACATCATCATATGCTCTTCCAGCAAAAGTCAAGTTCATCGGGACGCCCTTATCCGCCAGGATACCCATCGGCACGGATACCGTCGGGATGCCCAGATGGCGAATCACTCTGTTTCCATTACTGTAATGAACGCCGTTTCGCCATGCAAGGTCCGCGCCCTCGAAGCTAGAGTCAGCATTGGCGGGGCCGACGTCTCCAGCCGCTGGGAAGACGACAAAGTCACAGCCGAGGCCTGTGAGCCAGTCTTCAAGAAGGACTCTGCGCATCCCCTCTAAAGCCTTAATAGCTACATCAAGCCCTTCGATGTCGTTGAGGCTGCGTTTGCCAATGTAATCAACGAGCTTGTGGTAGAGAATTGCGTTTGGCTTGTCAAAATGTCTCAGCTCAGGCTCCGTACGCAAAGAGTCAGGATAGATGTTGAATGGGTCGACGGCAGCGAGATCCGGTATTTTCGGGTCCTTGAAGCTTTTGAGAAAGTCATTCCAGGCATGAGCGATGAGGGCACTCCTTTCCATGGAAACCCAGTCCTTTGGTCTTCTTGGGCAGCCCTCGGGCAGCAAGTCATCATTTTCGTAGGCTGTAACTGCAGGAAAGTCGTCAACCAAAAGGACTTCCGCACCAAGCGCCTCGAGGTCCTTTCTGGCTTTCTTCCAAAGATCGATAACCGCCGGGCTCGTCGTCACTGGTTTCGCTCCAGATGGAGCTGGACCGCCAAGGTACATTTCGGGAACAGCAATTCGCAAGCCTGCAAGGGACTTGCATCCAGCTAGCTCTCCGAAGGACCTCGGCTTCTCGTGCCATGCTTGCGGAAGCTTGATAAATGGCTGTTCTCGCCAGAAGTCCCCATTTTTGACTGGATCCTCCACGGCAATAACATCCAGAAGGGCAAACATGTCCTTCATTGTTCTCGTATGAGGAACAGGGACGTCGCATGTAGGGTATAGCGGCCAGCTGCCCCGCGGGGAGAGAAAATGCCGGGATGGTGTGTATGCAATGAGCGCATTGTTGCTGGCGGGTGATCTTCCAGATGACACCGTCTCGCCGCCGAGCCCAAAAGATGCAAATGACGCTGCGGTAGAGACCGCAGACCCGTTTGAGGAACCCGAGGCGAACCCAGCTGCGAGATAATCTGGGTTGTACGGGTTCTCCGCCCGTCCCCAAATGCCTCTCTGCATACCACCGCAGGCAACTGCAGGCATATTGGTCCTGCCCATCAAAATGCCACCTGCTTCCCGGATCTTCTCAACGAGAAATGCATCCTCGTTTGCGATGAGGTCCTTGAATGCGGGTGATCCAGCTGCAGCCACAAGCCCTTTAACTTTGTAGCTGTCCTTAACGGTGTAAGGTATGCCCTCAAGCGGTCGAACTGGAGCACCTGATGCGCGCCTGTCATCGGACTGGGCTGCTTCTTCAAATAGCTTGCTATTCAGGACCGGAATGGAGTTCAGTGCTGTGTTACGGCAATCGTATGTGCTTATGCGGCGTAAGTAGCGGGCCACCAGCTCAACGCTGGTTATCGAACCGGAGTTGAGAGCATTTTGTATGTCTTCGATGGAAGCCTCGACGAGGTTGAGTTGCGACATGTTGGGCTTGAGATCAGAAGGTTTGAGGCAGAAGACTTCCTAGCGTGCATTGTTGGAAATCGACAAGCTTCGGAGAGTCGTAACAGTTGCCCCCAAGAGAGGGAAGAAAGTACGTCAAAACATGTCAGCAAGATGATAGGCAAATATCCCCCACGGCGAACCGTTTGGCCTTGAAGGTGAATTTGCGGGGAAACTGATACGTAAGAGATAGCAATTGTCCCGGACGGCGTTGAATCCGATAACAATACCGCTTCGGCGATTCAGGCCGTTGACTTCGATATCTGCCGATTACCATGCCCCGCTGAAGCCGCTAGCGAGTTGCCGAGCGCTAGCGAATCTCCGCCAACACAAGTACAGGATCAAACTTGCCTAAGGTACCTTACCTTTACAGTTGAGAGTCCCCATAGCGGCAGACATCATCATCGAGAAGGAAATTCAACTCAAGCGGCTGCTCAGACAACATCAATAGCCCAGCCAGAACATGAAAACACCACGACTTATGTCATAATGTCTCTGTGCATCATTGCAGGATCTAGATGTAGCAGGATGTTTAGTAGCATCGATATTGTAGCAATATTGCCATCCGTCTTCCTGACGCGTGTAAGTTGATCATGGACAGGCATCCTCGGCCTCGGAGACGGACAAGGACAGACGGCCGGGTGTGGGGCCCAACCACTTCCCGGTGCCGGTTCGCAGCCACCCTACGGACCTCAGTTGTCCGGGCCACAGTACGATGCACAGGGTCCGGCAGTCATTCCCGGTCGGCGTTTAACACCGGCTCTTGGCCTTGGTGCGGGCGCTGAAGTCAGACTGTGCCCCCGGTCGCGTGTGCGGCGAGACAAGTACGGAGCAAATGTGTCCGTCGGCCGATTTATTGGCGGGGACCTGCCAGGGCAAGTCAGGTTGCTCTAAAACTTACCTAATTGCTAATTGGCGGAGGATCACCTATTTCAAACCATACGTCCGAGGAAAGTACTGTTGGGGTCTCGTCAAGTTGGCCGTTGAATGTCCAAGAAAGGAGACCCGTATCCATATTCTCCTTCAGTGCTGTGAAAGGGTCGTGACCCACCGCATGGGCGCTGCCGAAATCGCTCTTATAAACATGTATGTGCTGATTCTTGACGGCGTCTTCGACGTCTTCATTGAACCAATATCTGTACATGAAAAAGGTCTTCACGTTCTAGTTCACAGAATCGGGACTGTAGTAGGAGCTAGGCGATGCATTATCCTGAAGTACATCTCAAAAACTCTTTTCTCTGAGAATTCTACAGCGTACACAGGCAACAGTGAAGAGGCAAACTTGTGTGGGGGCGTCGGACTCAAAAAGAACTTTGGTAAGTTGCCTCTTCTGCTTTTGACGGGAAGAGTGGGGTAGATCCCTTGAACGAATCAAACGATGTGAGCAAAGACAGGCATTAGGTTGTCAAATTTTTATCAGATCGCGCCATGTCACGATGGCAATTGGGCAGAATGCGGTCTTTTGCGGGCTCCCTCGTGTAAGATGCTTGGCTGCATTGGCTTGGTTCGTCCGGTTCGAATCCTTCGCCGGGATGTGTTTAGAGTTACCATTTCAAGACACCTTAATTACCCTCCCGCCGATTCGATGAAATCTATGTAAAAGATGGGCAGCCCACGTTTCGATTTCCCTTTGCTGCGGTCTTTCTTCACCTCTTCATTCTCTTTGCCGCCGTCGCCAGCCTAATCTTAGAGCCTTCTGGCCACAAGATTAACGAAGATGTCAACACCACCCGGAGGTCCAGCGGCCCATTCGAAAGCTGCCGACCGATTCCCGCCTTCGGTCTCTTCTGATGCCCCGCTTAGTCATGAACAGCATCTCGACGGGGACGGTAAATCCAGTGACTATCCCAAACCTGTATCCGACGCATCTCGCTCGGGTGCTGCTGATGATGGAAACGCCGGTATCGGTGTCAGCAGAGTTGAAGCCTTCAACAAGGTCCTGTACCAGTCTGGGAAGTCCGGCAAGATCATTCTCTGGCTGTTGGGCATCTCCATCGGCCTAACCATGTTCGCCTATGCCCTTGACCAGGGCATCACTGGGACCATCTTCACCACCATGGCCAGCTCGACGTTCGGCCAGCACAGCTCGCTCGCCGCTGTCAGTACCGCCAGTCAGATCATCCGCGCGATCAGCAAGCCCTTCATCGGCAAGCTAGCCGACATTACCTCCCGCCCGACGACCTACGTTGTCATTCTTGTCTTCTACGTTGTTGGCTTTGCCGTCGCGGCTAGTTCTAGCACCTTCGCTGCCTACACCGTGGGCATCTGCTTCACTTCCGTGGGCAAGTCTGGCCTCGACCTCCTCAGCGATATCATCGTCGGTGACCTTACCCCGTTGCAGTGGAGAGGATTCTTCGGCGCCGCCCTCTCGATCCCGTTCGTCGTCACTGTGCCTGTCAACGGCTTCATTGCGGAGGGCTTCGTTGATAATTGGCGATGGGGCTTGGGCATGTTCGCTATCGTGGTGCCTGTACTCCTCGTTCCGGCAATCTTTACTCTGTACTCTATGCAGCGACGAGGAGAGAAGATGGGCATGGTCACTATGGCTGCCTCGAAGCGTCTGAGGACCGGTGCCGTTGGGGACTCCGAATCAGCGGGACTGTCTTATTGGATGAAGCTGTTGGGCGAGGGGTTGATCGACATTGACATCTTCGGCCTCATCATTCTTGGAACAGCGTTCTCGCTCATCCTGCTGCCCTTCACTCTCGCCGAGAGCGCTGACGGCGGTTGGGGTAGCCCGAGAATTATTGCTATGCTCGTTGTCGGCTTTGTTCTTCTTATCGGTTTCGTTCTCTTTGAGATGTACGTTTCCCCAAAGCCGTTCATGACGAAACACATCCTCCAGAACCGCACGTTCCTCGCGGCGGCCGCGATCTACACATTCAACCAGATGGCCTCGGCAGTACGAAACACCTACTTCTCCTCGTATGTCTACATCATCAAGCAATGGTCTACGTACGAGTGGACCATTTTCTTGGGCATTACTACAATGGGACTCAGCATCATGGGTCCTATCGTTGGTCTCATCCAAAGATCCACCCACCGTTACAAGTCCATGATGGTCTTTGGCGCGGTGGCCAGGCTCATCGCCTACGGTCTGCTCGTCCAACCCAACGGCAACATGGTGCAGGACACGGCTCGACTGGTGATTGCACAACTTCTTTACTGCTTGGGATCGTTCAACGTTGTTGGCGCGCGCGTGGGCAGTCAAGCATCAGTGCCGCATGAGGACATGGCCACGATCATCGCTGTGCTCACACTGTGGTCTACCTTGGGTTCATCAGTTGGCAGCGCCGTCTCATCCGCGATCTGGACGAGCGAGATGCTTGACCGTATGCGGAAGGAGATGCCCGATGTTGACGAGAAAACTCTCGCGAAGCTGTACGGCAATATCAAGAAGTTGCGCACCACATACGACTTCAATGATCCCGTCAGGCAGGGCGCTATCCGCGCCTATGCCCACGTCAACGGCCATATCGCCATTACCGCTCTTCTCCTGGCTGCGGTCCCACTGTTCGCCACTTTCTTCATGCCTGACTTCTACCTTGGCAAGCAACAGAACGCCGTCACGAACACGGGTCTTGACGGTGAGGCGGTCGATTTACCTCAGAGAGAGTTGAGAAATGAGGAGGCGTCTGGCACGGCACAAGAGCAGTCCAGATCTTTTTACTACAAGTGGCTTGCTTTTTACTGCAAAGATGCTTAACTTTGAGGCGTGACGAATTAGCTGAGAGCAAACTTGCCGCAACGCGAGCACTATAGTCGTAATACAAACCGAATCTCGGCCTCATAATTACTGCAGATTAGACGTGAAGGAGAACACTGGCGACGGGTTGCACGCCTACTTCCCTACTGTCGCGTTAAATGCGCGACTTGCTGGATGATTGACGTGCACACTGGCTATGTGTCTTCCGCGAGTCTCGTAAAATCTGGGATATTCTATTTCCGAAAGTCTCCATTACTCAAGACATCTTCTACCTCAAAGTCTGGCTGAAACTCTCGATACAAGCTATCGGGGCTAGACGTCATCCTGAACGTGTACGCAGCGACGTTGTCCTCGATAATTCTTTTTGGTATACCATTGGCAGCTGCGGCTTCGGCCAAAAGCTGGACTTGGCAACTCTTCTCCATGAGAGTAAACAGGTACGCTGCTTCATCGACCGTCTGGCCCACAGTCAACAGACCGTGGGTCGTCAAAGTCATCACCTTTCCCTCTGGTCCAAGAGCCTCGGCCAGCCTCTTGCCCTCCTCCTCATCAAACACCACTCCCCCAAAGTCCTCGTAAACTGCCTGAGCCTTGTCGTAAAATATGCAAGCATCTTGATTGATCATCTCCAGCGGTCTACCGAAGGCGGACCAGGCCTTGCCGTATATGGTATGTGCATGACAAGCCGCGTTCACGTCGGGCCGCGCCTTGTGCAAAGCGCTGTGAATGAGAAAGCCAGCGGCGTTTGAAGGCAGGCTCATGTTTCCGCCGATAGCGTTGCCATTGTAGTCGACTAAAATCATGTCTGAGGCTCGCATAAGCTGCCACGGACGACCAAGCGGGTTGGTCCAGAACGTGTGCAGATTTTCGGGGTCGCGAATGGAGATGTGCCCGGCCATGCCCTCGTTGAAACCCTTGCGGGCGAAGATGCGGAATGTGGCGGCCATGTGTTCAAGGATGTGCGTGCGGTGTTCATGGAAGGATGGGAAAGTCGGGATACCGGAGAGAGGTGTGCCTTGAGACAATGCTTCAAGAGCCGTCTGGCCTTCCTTTGCGTGAGGCTCCCAACTCTTCTTCACCGGCACGGCATCGGCGGTGGCGGGTACCATATCCGTGTTTGAGTGTGGTGCCATTATGGATATTTGGGAATAACCAAATTATTCCCCAACTAGACAGTGGTGTTCGTTACGCAAAAGGTGAATTCCCCGAACTCTTTGGTACGGTTGGAAGAGCGAAGGCATCCGCTGGGAATGAGCGATTTTTTGAGCTGGTGGGAGGTGCAGTGCCCGGGTTACATGTTGTTTGAAACTCGTGGACAATGAAGGCAGACACACTCAAGCCGAGCAGTTCGGTTTCAAATGCCAAAAGATGTGATAGGAGACGATCTAATTACGAATAAAAATTACCTCAATCCTACAATGCGGAGCTTGACTCGGCCCCACTTATCGGAGCACGTCGCCGGAAGTCTTCCGGAAGTCTCCCGAGCTCGTTCCGAACCCATCTTAGGTATCAAACGCCGTGGAAAGCGTTGAGAGACGGAATAACCTAGGCGAAAACTTTCAGTGTCCGCAAAAGATTGTCCACGAACAAAATTAGATAAGGGATGTTTGCTCATAGGACTAGTAAGCGCCATCCCTGACGCTAACGCCATTGCCGATTGCTTGGTGCTGATTTCTAGCACAACCGCCGTTTGGCGACGGCACCTAAGCAGCGCTTGTGCAGCCACCCACCGCCAAAACCCCTCAATAACTATGCTGCCTGTCGCAAAGACTACTTTTCAGGATTCCAGATGATCAGAAAAGGACGTCGAAGCCCCCTTTATGGACATCCTCCTGCAGCTAGCTGGTCTTCCGGGCTACTAAGCCGGTGGAAGAGGTGTTGGAACAGCCTAGGAACACCGGCTGAGGCTGAATGAAGGATCAAGCTTAAGCTTTCTCTCCAAGCGACGAGGCTTTTGAACAGAGGCACCTCCATATGACGCTAGGACCCAGCACTAAAAGTCCACAGTCTAGGCCGTAGAAGGGAGATCGAAAGTGCTATACCTTGTCTCCAGATAATACAAAATATGTGTATTTCCCCTGAGACTTGTCGCAGCGCAGAATGTTGTCTCAAGATCACTCTTATACTACCATCTCTCGGCCATTATGGAGACTCCCTCCAACTACCCTCGACCATACTCAACTAGGCAGAGTGCCTACTCGAGAGAGGGGTGGGCCGAGCCCTCTGCAAAGCCCTTCTTGGACAGCACCACGACAATTGCTGAAGTCAAGAGTCAATTCGATTATGACGAAGAAGAACCTAAGCGGCGATTATTTCCCGGGCGCAATAACAAGACGGGCCCCAAACCAGTCATTCGTGGAACAGCAAAGCGATTCTTCCTGAGATGGCTTGTACATGCTCCAGCTATCGCCGTCACCTGTGGCATTATCTGGATCAGCCACATGCAGCTGTTCTGGTATCCAGAGCACGGTGTCGAGCCTTTCAGCAACATCCACGTCAAGCTCAGCGCGACTGTCATTAGCAACTTGCTTCAGCTGGCATCAAAAATCCATGAGATCATGATCGTTGCATCTCTCGCTTCCATCTCCGTCGCCATGTTCAAGCGGAGGCTTGTGGGGAAAGGTGTCCGCCTGGGCTTCCTGACTGGTGGATACCGAGTCGGAGACCTAGAGTACCTTCTTAGTGGTGCTTTTTGGAAGCAGGGCAAGGGAGTCACATTAAATATCTGGGAGATCGGGTTGGTCGCCTACCTAGTCTTTGCGACCATCATGTCTACTGTTGTCGGACCGGCTTCAGCAATCTTGCTGGTGCCGAGTCTGGGATGGTTCGACCTCGACGGCGCCTTCCAGGATGTCAGAATGCCGCTGAGCTATGGTGCTTCTCCAGAGGAAGCTTGGCCTCGAAGCCTGAACAGCTCTTTATTCGATTCAACACCAGAGTGCAACACTACAGAGGCACTCTATACATATTGGTGTCCCGTCGGCGGCTTTTCCGACATTTGGAACTGGGCGGAAGGATTCCGATACGCTGGACTTACAGACAACATCACCTTCCAACATCCATCGACGGAACTCCGTCGTCGTTTATCTTTGTCTGCGCATGACACTCAGAACGACGGGTCAATTTTGATGTTTACAACTCCGTCCAGTTCTATCATGGCCACTATTGGACTCTTTGCCAATTACATTTCTCGGAAGCCAGTGCCTATCGGAACTGTTACGGACGTAAAGCGATACCAGCTTACGACTACGACACCATTGCAACAACCCTTTGTACACGGCAAGTGCGTCTTGTACGATCGCGATCAACTTCTCCAAGACAAGGCTCTCCCATCTTTCCCGGTTTCGGCGCTGAACTGCTACGGTGACGCTGGGTGTCTTCGCGTCCAGCAGGATAAGCCTACTTTCAAGTCCAAGACATGGAACGATACGCGTGTCGCGCCTAGAATGACTTATAATCTCCACTATTACGACAAGAAGTCCCCTGGCGGAGCGATGCTAATAGCCGGTACAATCCCTTACGTCGGTGACGGATCGAAGCAAAGGCTGTGGGTTTATACATGCAGCTTCCTGCCCCGCTGGGTTCCTGCCTCTTTTACACTGGACTCTGGAGATGCCAGCATGCTCTTGTCCAACTTCAGCTCCGCAGATGATATGGCTGCGATGTTGCAGAATACCACGGCGCAATCGGACAGGGTAGTACAGGCTGATTCCAGCTGGGTCAGGCTCATTGACCCCGAGTTCAACATGACACGGATGGTACCAGGGAACTCAACCCCCAGCGTTTCAGCAACATCGCCAATCAAGTTGATCTTGAACCAGTTTCTGGACAGCCGAGAGCAGAATGGGACAAAGTTCACGTACATGGACACGGTAGACGGGAATCAGAAAAGCACTGAAATCTTCTTGACCAAGGTTTTGGGCGTTTTTCTAACAGACAGTCTCGCGAGAACGTCCTCTCATGAGAGAGCCGCACTCATTCTCGAGGATACAGATAGCTCCATGAAGTGGATCGACCTCAAAGAGCAGATTGGCTACGAGTCTGGCATCCATAGAGTGGAGGCTCTGAACAACAAAACATACCCATCCTTGTCCTACTGGAACAACTACACAGATCCGATTCCCCTGGATCTCTCTGTTTCGGAGGTCACACAAGAGTTCCGCAAAACAGTCCAGATCGAATTTGAAACCCAGCGCTACGGATACGGATCTGGTCAATTTACCAAGACTCTACAGTTTGCTTTGGTCATGATGTACATCTACCTCGCAGTCGTCGGTATCTACGGCTTCACCATCTTCTCATCACATGCCACCGAACTCATGGGCCAGCTTATGGGGCGAAGAAGGTTCCATCTTAGAAGTGTGGTGGGTTGGGGTGACTTGGCTGATTTGATGCTGCTAGCATTACGATCGAACCCGCCGGATGATGTGGAGCTGAACCATGTTGGTGCGGGTGTTCGCAAGTCACCTGGAGTGTGGAACAAGGTTGTCAAAGTGCGGATTGACGAAGACAACAAGGTGCAGATGGTACTACATGAAGGGAGGGGCATGAGCCCACCAAAGCGTAATGTTTTATACTCCTAGATAAGGGTACTTAGGGAGCGTAAGAATTTCAAGACTGAATCACCGATCTGCATGACAGCAAATCTCGATTGTCTTCGCCGTGTTTGGTGCCATCCGCGACACCTCTGCCTCCTACCGTGATCCAAATTTCGTCGACGCAGAAAGTCGCCTTTAGACCAAGGAACGATCTTTGAGACAACCTCTACGATCTGATTTATCTCGGCTGACTTCCATGAGGGTATGTAAGTTGGTTGGCCCTGCGGACAGTTCCCCACTCTGCCGACAGGGGTTGCGCTGGATCCGCACAAGTCGGTCTGGGCAAAGCCCTATTCAGCTTTGCTCCATATTCACAATTCCGAGGCAACCTGTCAACAATCACCGGTTCATCAACCAGGTGCCCATGGAAGGGTGGCCGAGTTGGTTATGGCGCCAGGTTAA